TGCTAATCTTGTTTTCTTTGCTTTAACCTTTAATTTACTTTTCACAGGATGGAGGTCTACACCCTGCGCGCCGCATGGAGGGAACGCCCTAACTTTCATATTCATATTTTCATTTGTGTCCTTCATTTTGTTTATTGGACAGGTATCCTTAGCACCCGGCTGTCCAGGCCTGTCGGTGACCGGGGTCTCATCTCTAAGCTCCGAAATTTATCATACCATATCTCTTTACACATCAGTCATCGAAGAAAAACTTGAAAGTTTTTATGGTTCTTACCAGGATTGAAACTGCGCCCTTATTATATATCTTTGCTACAATCTTTAAATTTCTGAACATATTAAAAAGGCAATTTTTATGCATTATTTTATCATGAATTTCTTTATATATATAAATATTTGATTTTATATGATAGAGAATTAGAATATTCTCCTTAATTTGATTATAGATGAATTAGAAATTTCCTTCATATTTGATGATGGATAGAAATAAGCCTATATGACGTGGGAATCAAAAAAATCTTTTATCCACAAAATTTTCATTTATTTTATAAAAAATGTTAATGAAGTATATATATTTACTACCTTCTATGTGAACAAATATTGGACACATACATGAATATACTGTTTTTATTAATTTTATAATTTATGTAATTTTTTTTATTTATGAACTCAATAAAAAATTATTTAATCTTGTGTGGGTTTTTTATATTATTTTTTTTTTAATACAAGGCTTATACCAAAATATTTGTTGCTGAATATCAAAATAAACACTATTTATAATATTGGAGAGTGGTTAAATTAAAAATACTATACTTTATGAATTATTACTTCTATAAAATATCAGAATTCAGCAAATATATATATAAAAGAAGGTCAGGCAACCTTAGTAAAAAATTGAAATTGAGCCAAATAAAACTTGAGATGACCCATTAACTAAATTCCCATTGGGCCTGAAAATGTTGTCATTTGCAGATCTCTGGTGGTAAATGCATAGGAAAATAAAAGTGGCAGACGCATATCATTTATAAATGGATTCCTTGGCAGAGGTAAAATCCATTAAGAAATGCTGTTTCCTACGTCATCCTGACTAGAGGTCTGCAATGGGAAGGTTTTGGTGCACCTGCCTGCTCATTTATTTAAAAATTTTGTTTAACTTGCCTGTCCAATGTTTAAGAATTATTATATTGTATTATTTCAATGTTTTTTTACTTAAACTTATAAATTATGATATAAAAAATTAATATCACTTAAAAAATAGAAGTCAGTTGCTAATTTTGCCTAAAATATATTTCAAATTCATCTGCCCATTGTTTTAAAAATATTTTTTGACCCTCCCACTCACCAATCCAATATCTTTCAGTCTATCCACAGAATAGGCAGGTTTAAGTTAGGCAAAACTTCATCTAGCAAGTAAAAATTTATTTAAGAATATTTTTTTATTGAGCACATAAATATAATTTTTACAGATTTTATGATAATATAGTGAAAATTCATATGTTTGGATTATATATTCATATTTAAGAGAGACCTGATGAGGCTTATTAAAAAACTTATGAAATTATATATTTTTAAGAGGTTTATTATTTTATAAAATCCTTTTTACAAAGTTATATATTCATTCTTTTATTTTTATTTGTATATTTTTTAATCATTATTAAATATTTTACCCAGTGAAGTAGACAAGAAGAGGGGGGGGGGGGGGGTTGAACTTTCCTTAAAAAATTTTTTAATTTTGTTTTTTTTTAAATTTTAAAAATTTATATTTAGAAAACGGAAATTATAAAAAAAAACAAATGAATTTTCAATATTAAATGATCACATGATATTAAAAATTATATGAACTAAAATATTAAATAGGGAGGGGGAGGGGCTATAAAGATATATTGGTAAATATTTTCTGGCATAGTAGAGCTGAGGATGGAGAAAAAAAATATGATCTGCATATCTCGATGATATTTTTTAAAAAACAATTATAAATTTAATAATATAATTAATATTGTTAAACAAATTAGACAGTTTTAAAAATTTAATTTATTTTATATAATTCAAAAGAAAAATCCTTTAATTTGGTAAAGATAAACAGCAAACTTTTATTTTCTTTTGCCGATTGAGGCTGAATTGTTGATTACACTTGAAACGCGAGTTTATCAAGATAGTATGATAAGTTACTTTGTGATGTCGTATTTTGGTATAAAAATCTTGACAGAATAGAGTACTCTTTGAGATCAATAGATGCTTTGCTGACCTTTATGTCTAATTGCACTTGATTCCCAGCTTATTATCACAACATTGTTTTTTTAGTTACCTTGCCGATTAATACTACCACTAATAAAAGGTCTTTTTCAATTTTGAAAAGGATAGAAACCTATTTAAGAAATGGCACCGGTGAAACCCGTTTAAAGGGATTAGTCCTGTTAAATATTTATAAGGAGATTATTCTAGATAAAAATTTGATTCTAGATAATTAGCCAAATCTCAGAGAAAAGTAGATCTCTCTTTACAAATTCAAATCATAAAATTGCAATATAGCATAAAATTTTATGCAAAACTTAATTATAATAAATTCTTAGTCATAATATTTATATATTTTCATACTGGTATTTTTTTTTGCAATAAGAGTTATTTATATTTTGATAATATAATCATTTGTATTAATTATAATTGTTAAATTATATTTTTTTAAATACCGATATGTGCAACAAGAATTATATTTATTTTTTATTGCAATTATATTTTTTTTAAATATAAACACTTTGAGATTTATTTATTGTATATTATCTAAATAAGTACATAGTTAAATAAAGAGATATTATTTATACTAAAGTATTTTAATAATAAATAAAATCTATAATAAAATTCCCTGTAAAATTTGGTTATATGTAAAAAATTAGTTATTTTAACATAGAATAAAGGTATATAGAGTGATCCTAGAAAATGGGAGGTTTAAGGGGCTATTTTTTTTTCTTTCTACACCAAATGAATAGAATTAATTTACAATTGAAAACTAAACATTGTTAAATTTTCAGAATAATGCTTTCAGTCACCTATTAATCATAAATTTGGCCAAATTTTGTTATTAATATTTTTTCAATGCTGGCTACTTAAATGGTTAGACACTAATAAAGCACAAAATAAAATTTTAGAATTAGTATTTCCAATATGGTCAGCCAACTTTAACATAGTTGAGATAACTACTGAAAAATTTATATTATTTACTATTTTATAGGGAAGGGCCGTAGGAAAGAAAGCTTTGAGGCTTTGTCATAAAAAATACCCACTCCCCCACACCTATGGATAAATCCTGACTCCGCCGCTGCTTATACCTTTTTAATAGTACTCCATCCATACTCAGTAAATTAACTACGATTTTTTACGCCGTATTTGTGAATTTGTGTTTTTTACACAAATTTTCTACTAATTTTAGTAATGCCTGGTTGGCAGGAAAATTTATTTAGAAGAAATAAATACTAAATTATCACATGCTAAGAATAGTATTTTACATAAATTTATTATTATCCCACAAATTTATATATAATATGAACATATATTGCTTAATAAAAAATCGTTTGATTGCATAGAGTGTTTTCTTGCCAGTCACAGAATTTTCTAAATTGATTAAAGAAGAGACCATCTGGACATTGAAGGATAGGTTTGTCAAAAGCATGGCAGTCAATAAATTTTCTATATAATCAAATAATGAATATAATAAAAGTATTAAAAATTAGATAACTCTCATGATTGTTATAGAGTTCTAATCATACCTCTATATCACTTTTTTGCCGATACCACAGATATCTGGCTCACTAATACCTATATTTAACAAAATAAAAAAACAACTAACATTAATTTTTATTTTTTAAAAAATTAAAAATAACTACATAATATTATGTAATAAAAAAAATATTTTTAAATTTATTTATTGAGTTTATTATTAAAAAAACGAATTTAAAACAAAGATCATATAAAAAAACAATTAAATTAAAGATTATAAAAATATAGCGCATATATAAAAATTAAAACAAACTGAATAGTGAATAGCAATCAATTAACACTTTAATTGATAAAAAAAAAATATAGTTTCTGTTTTAGAAAGACAATGTCAGACGTAAAATATTTCATGTAACATTTTTATTTCTCAGAAGCGAACAATTGATAAAAGCATTTAAAAAATAAAATATAGCCTTAAAAAGCGGGAAACACGAGAGGGGAAACTTTTTAAATATTTTATTAAATAAAAATGGTCTAAAATACAATGATCTGCAATAAATTATATAAAAATAAATATTTAATATTATCTGGAAAGAAAATATAATTTTTTAGAGCAAAATGTCCTCAAAAAATTAAATTTAATGAATCTTTAGAGAATTAAGTAATTTCGTATCTACCCATAGTATCGGAGTAGAGGTATTGGCGGGTAACCCGGCCGATAACGATAGTGCAGCTATAGTTCTAACTCCACTCTATTCAAAATTGAGTTAGTGGAAATATTATTCATCTTCATTCAAAAACCCCCAAACATTTATTTTAAATATATTCTTTATGTAATAAAATGTAGTTCAATATTCATTTGGCCAATTAATCATAAACCATTACATTTATCAGGTTATAATAAAAAATATCTTTAAATATCAGATGTTTTTTAATATATAAGCTATCCAAGCTACAATAGTAGTAAATAAAGACTAGAAAAAAGGTGAGACTTAAGAGTTTTTCCAGATATTTATAGAACTAAATTAATATTGAGTAAAGAGAGTATATATTTAAAAAAAGACCTTTATCAACTTTTTTGAATTAAAATTTTAAAATAATATCAAATTGTCAATACTCAGATATTGGGCTGAGAAAACAAAAAATACAAGTTATGTTTTATCGTTTTGTACTTTAAAATATATTTTGCTTTATATGTCTTCGCAGGCAAAAATTCGCATACGATATAAACATACGTGAGTGTCTTAGTAAATAATCGATTTTTTATGCGCATTAAAAAAAAGGCAATTTTTTTGTCAAAGTATTTTTGCGAATTCGTAATTTAAAGCGATTATAATGCGATATTCGGATCTAGTATGAATATTTAATATGAAATTAATTTATTAAATGATGGGTGTTTTCCGGCGCAAGTGGATGACAAATGCAAATAATAGAATATCAAGATTAAAACCCATATTAATCGTACTAGAATTATGTGTAATAATAATAAAATAACGTTAGTTGCTTTAATATGGGTTTTAGTAATTTTTAAAGTATGCCTGTGTCTAATGTCAAACATTTTTCAAAAAAAATGATCTCGTAATGATACATTAATCGTCCAAACTCGATTTCGTAAATTTCAATAATAAATAAATTTTTTAAAAAATAAAATTTTGACTATTATTTTTATCAGTTTGTATGAAAGAATCGAACCGGGTTCAAAACGAACTAATATTATTATTTTTACAAACTGAACATGACCTATTAGTATTATCCCAACCTGCAAAACTCAATGATTCAGTTCCCACTTTTTTTCTATTTCAAAATTACAAATATAAAACCACAAATGATTTATATTAAAAATTTAGTTAATTTACCTGCAGTCTTTTGGAAGAGGTATTAGCGTGACTGAAAACTGCAAATATACTTGACATAAATGTAGCAAATATTTATCACCAAGAATTGTATCAGTTTTTATTGGAGAATTTGAAATATTATATAATCTTTCATCTTTACTAGAATGATATTGTGTGTTTATATCATGATTTCCCGATCTATTTGATATAGAACTATTATCTTCTAATATTTTATAATAATCAGCTTTAATTTCTTTCTCAATTTTTATGTCATTTTTACATTTAAATGTAGATGTTAAAAATTTATTAATAGATATGAGTAATGGATTATCAATATCATCCATTGAAAGCTCCCAAATCATAATACCTCCTATATTTTTATTACAAACATAATTCATCTAATATAAATTTATAATAAACAAAAACTTTAAATGCCATACTTTGTAGGTGATACTTTTTCCGTTTTCATAACTTATCCACATATCTTCAATATATCCAAAAGGAACTTTGGCTTCATAGTCGAAACTTTCCAAGGGTTTTTTTAACATGATCTATGCAACAAATATTTGATAATTAATAATCCTCATCTAATAACCTCATAATACGACATAGTTCCAGCTTCACCTGTATAATCTCCCGGAGGTCCGCCTCCATAATAGGCTGGTGCTCCAACATATTTATTAACTTCATCAATCAATTTATAATTTCGACCGTAAAAGGGAATACCCAATAAGATTTTGGCAACGTCAGCTCCATTATTTATTAAATAATTTATTACAGCAACCTAAATAGAATTGAATTTGAAATTAATTATAATCTTATACATTAACATCTTCTATCTTAAATCGGTCATTATCAAACTCATTCCAAAATCCAAAATTTTCTTATATCACACAAGTCCATGATCATCATTAGTTATATTCTCATATCAAATCCTTCTTATTTCCAAATTTATTATTTCTTCAAATCTCTTTCTTATCCAGTTATAAAAGTTCCATAGTGTTAATATAATCAAACTTTCTTTCATTGTACGTGCTCTTTTTAGTTTATTTATAAGATCTACAATATCCAAATATTTATATTTTTTATCTTTCATTATCTTAGATTTTTCTAGTATCTATCTCAGAATCCTTATTTCTGTCACTCATGAAGTCAAACCTATCTATCTATAATAGTCAATTAAGAAAATAAAAATATAAAACACACGGAAAAACAATATAACCTGTATTTTAATTTTGAGGATAAATATGTAGCACACACCCCCTATTAGTCACCATCCATTTCACTTAGGCAACATTTGTTCTATATTGCACGTTTAATGGCTTAGGGGACACCTTTAATTATTTGCCTGTTCTCCTAAATATCATTTTAAGCTAGTAACCCCCCCCCTCCCTTACACACTCTAACCTGCAATCTTATGCATGAATTTATTTTTTTCTAGAATTAAGACTCATAAACAATTACAAGACCTGCCTTTGAATAACCACATTTATAGATTGCTCTCCATACACTAACTTTTTTCTTCTTCCAATATTTAGAAGATTTTGGTTTCCTTGATGATTACCACACCTTCTTGTCTATTTTCTTCTTTTTAAATTACCCCGTTCGTTAAATCTTTCAAAAGCCTTCTTTAATTTACTTTAGACGAATACAAATTCTTTTTTTTTACCTTCACAATTTCCAAATCCATAACGGCAATATAGATATAACATAATTTCCAAGGTTCATCTTGCAAATTTACGTTTCTTTATACTTTACGTAGTCAGTCTTGAAATAAGTTAGAAAATGGTCTTTTTTATTAAAATAAGTTATAATAAAACGTTAAATAGATCGTTCTACCAGAGTTGTTTCTTAATTACAAAAATGTTACAAAAATATCGATATCTATTTATTTATAGATATATTTGATACATACATTTTAATACAATTTTATTATGCTATTTTATTATATTTAAAAAAATCAATTTAATCCTATTTTTTGTATTAAAAAATATTAAATATTTCATAATTTATTTTCTTCCATCAAGAGAAGTCTTATTTTACACAATGGATAATGGAAATATTGTAAATATTGCGTTCAGAGTTGTTAAAGAGGTTACATTTCTTCAAAAACATCTATAGTATCTTTATTTCAAAAATCGGAGAGCTAGATCCATTTTAGGATGGAGTAGAGGAACACAGCTCCTTCGCTCTTTTAATTTTATTGCATAAATTGTTTAAAAAATAATTTTAATTCATTGAAATTTTAAACTTAACTTAAATTAGAAGAGTTAGTTAAAGAATGTATTTTGTTGAATGAATACAATAAAAATAATATATATTTATTTAAATTTATAAAAATATTTGTATAATATTAAGCCCCAAGTTGTTATTTATAAATTTTTTTCTTTTTCAAATCATAAAAGACTATTTAATATTATTATGAGATATAGAAGATACTGAATTATATAAATTAAAATTTTCATTTCCCTCCTACAGTAAATATTTTTCACTTTTAAAAGAGGTAGACCTTAATGTTCTAAATGAATCAACTTTCTTAGGTGCAACAACTATTGAATCGAAATAAAATCATTGCAACGAAGTCTGCATCCTTAGCCTTAAAAAATGTTGAATTAGCATGCTTTTGATGACTTGGCCAATATTATAATTAACATACATTTTTTAAAATCCAGATTAAGGTAATCTGTTATACTGGCAAAAATAGAAGTGAGGGCTTTCGGGTTATTCTAAATTAATCATTTTAAAAATAATTTTTAGTTCTGAACTGGGATAATATTTTTTATCCAAACTAACAAATAGAAAGTTATGATTTTCTACCACAGCATTTATAAATTTTTTTATGCACCATTTTCTTTGAATAAAATATATGATATAAAAATATGATTTTGGAAATCAAAGGAGCGGCGACGCTCCTTATTTTCAATTTGGAGTGGGAGGAAGCCAGTGTTGTTAAACGCTACCGCTATTTTATAAAAAAAGTAGCGCGCTATCGTTACCGCTATCGTTTTCAAATGAGTAGAGCGCTATACTTTTTTAAAAAAGCAGTTAAAACTACTTTTTACGCTATTTTGATTTTTTTAAAAATATTTTTTACGTAACTTTATTTCTTGTTATTATCGTCAACAAAAATATTATAAATTTTTATCATATTATAAAAAAATTATAGTCCTTCAGGAAATTAGACCCATTATCTGTAATCATCTTACAAACCATGTTCTGAATTTTGTAAATATGGATTTCTGAAATAATATTTGCTAGATGTCATAAGTCTGACAGCCAATTATTCTTTTTAGAGCTAATGCTGCAGATTTTCGTTTTAGATTTTTTGGATCAATCCAATGTGCGGTCACTTCTAAATAAGCTCTAAAAATATGAATATCATATTATAAATCAGAAAATAAACATTTTTACCTTCTGTTATGCGTCCAGCAATCTGCTGTTTTACAGATATAGGAGACATCTGATAGATTTAATATTAAAGATTCTTTCATTTCTTTAAAGCTATCAAAGATTCTTGCCATCAATGTCTGCTGGCAAAATATCTTGGTACGTGCAGAAAAAGTGTTTATCATCTTTATAAAAGAATGGTTGAACAGTATCTATTTTAAAGTTCATTATGACTTTGTCAGCCAATTTTTGAGATACACCTGGTGTTGATGAATCCAAATTGCTTAATTTTGTTTGAATTAAATTTGATTTGGAAGTGGATGTATCTTCTTCCATTACCCAAAAACTTGAGATATTTTTCAATTTTTTTATAATTTGAGGTGTGAACAGTCTAAAATTATAACAGTAATACTTAGAATAAAAATTATGTAGGAGATTAGTACATAAAAATGATTGAAATAACTATTTTAAAATGTTTTAAATAATTTAGATAAAATTTATGAATATATAAAAGAAATGATTGATCTTTGATTTAAATTTATTTTAAAAATTAAGGATTAGCCTACACATTGATAGTAAATTTGTTTAATATATCACCTTTAAATGTTTTTCCAAATTAAAGCTGCTTGTATGATTTGAGGATAAAATTTTGCGACACTACTTGCATCGAAACCGATATCCAGTAGTAATTTTTTCTTCAAGATTTAAGTATTTTTTGAATTTTGGGAAAGGATAATCTAAATTTTTCTCATTTTCCAAAGAAATTTCGCTATCTTCAACAATCTCACACATTTTTAATAACTAGATTTATAATGTATATTTTTAAATATAAATTTAAATTTCAAAATTAAATAAAATTAAATAAAAGGAATATAATTAGATTTAATAAAAAATATATTTTAATAATTTTTAGATGTATTTATTATGTAAAATTGAAAGTAGCGAGATACCGCTATCGCTATTTTCTAAAAAAAGTAGCCCGCTAAAGCTACTAAAAAAAGTAGCGCGCTATTTTAACAACACTGGAGGAAGCTACTTTTAAAAACTATGGCGAGAGCTAGTTCCTGTTAAATAATAACTGTGATGGCTTTAATAATCTTAATAAATTTTTAGATAATTAAAATTTATACTGACAAAGAAGAAACCATCAGTAAATTTTTAAACTTGATTAAATTGGCTTCAAATCCTATAAAATTTAAAGAAAAAAAGAATTGACCCAACGATTAGTAGGGACTTTCAAAGTTTCCGAATGATACTAATCATAGAATAATATTGAAAGATCTATATTATATTCTTCTAAATGATTGTGGGATAAAGGATATAAATTTTGAAACTCAAACTTTAAAGTATTATTCTAAAAAAGTGCATGGTTAAGATTTTGGCACTAAGAGCGTCATGAACCTTTACAATCTAAGAAATAATTGGTTCTTTTTTTTAGCTAACTTATCTTTTTTTAGTGGTATAAAAAAATTTTAAGATTTTGAGAGGCTTCTGCAAATTTTTCAAGGGGCTCGAGTCTCGGCGCCCTCTAGTTACGCTATTGAGTGTCACTTATAAAGTATAACACTACCCTACATTTTAGTGTTCTAGTTAAGAGACATTTTTTGTGTGGCTAAATGTCTTTAAACAGATGAAAATAGGAATTATAATCAATTGATATATATCTTTTAATATAAAATAAATATCATAAATAAAAAATGCTTTATCAAGGTCACATTTTGAGTTTTAATAATGGATTTTCAATTTAGGCATTATGCAAACTTTACATAATTATAAAAAAAATAAGCTCAAATATATCTTATGAAAAAATTGTATCTGTATAATTACTAGGCCATGTAGTATCTAAATACATTTGTAAAGTATCTTTAACCACTCTGCTTTATACTTTCATATAAGTCCTTTCCTCCATGCATCCAATTTTTCTAATTCAAATTCATATAGTCACAATGGAATGCATTCAAAAGAACGATTATTTTATTACTCTATCCGCTGACAATACGTAAGCTCCTATAAAAATACAATTCCAATATTCACTCTAACATGATTTAGAAAAATGTAATTTTTCAGTGTTCGCATTAGTCTAAAAGCTTACCTAGAATCCATAATTCATTGCTGGGAACAAATTGCTTTATATTTCCTCTACTCTATGTTAGCAATGAAATGCCATTGTTATTATTTCTCCGACTATAAGTTTTAAATATTCTCTTAATCTAATTAGGTAAATTTTATCAAAATTAAAATCATTCTAAAAAGTAGTTATTTACTGAATTCAAGTTATCATTGCTATAGAGAGGACTATTATGTCCCGTGTATGATTCCCAACTACCGTGGAAGTTGTAGGTCATTGCTCCAAAGAAATCAACATATCTTTTATTATTACGGAACAATATATATTTTGTGAACATATAAAATATTGCTTACTTGTTCATTTTCTGGATATCATAATTCATTAATTTTTGAAAACTAGCTGGTACAGCCGTCATCAAGATTAACTTTTTGTTTTCATAATCAAATGAAATTCTCATTAACTAAAAAAATATTGTATTATAATTTGAACTTTGTTTCCCTTGTTACAAAAAATATAAATTTTATTTTAGCTTATTAAAACTCAACCTGTTTTCATTCCTATTTTAATTGTATAAATTTGATAAAAGGTAATACATATTATAAGAATAAATTATTTGCGCAGTTGTTTTAATTAAAATGCACATTTTTAAAAATAATATTTGCACAGTTTTTTAATTGAATGAGCACTTTATTAAATAAGATATCTAGTTTTTGAAATATTTGCGCAGTTTTATAATTCCATTAAAATTTTTAAAAAAGGTGTTATAAAAAAATTTTTATAAAATTTTATTCAGTTCCTTTTTTTAAGTCAACTTTTGAGAGCAGGTAGCTCAGGAAAGTGGGTAAAGAGAGTTAAAGGTTAAACAAATGGGCAATGATAATACACTGCTGGAAACTGCAAAGCAATTTACTAAACGCTGACTACATTTTAATCCCATATTTATATATTAACGAATGAATGCTTAGCCCAAATCATGTTCTGGCTTCTACTATACTGTAACACATTATCTTGGTTACAGGTGCGTTGCCAGGAATTTTCTACGTGGGGAGGGGGATAAATTTTTTATAGTATGATTTATTTTTAGAGCATTTAAAATTTAATAAAACTAATAATCATATAAAATTTATTAGAACCAGGGATCCAAACTGAATCTGAATCGAACCGTTAAACCGCTAAAACCCGATATTATCGAACCTGAACCGAACTGAACCTAAACCACTAAAAAAAATTTATAGCTGAACCTGAACCTGAACCGAACCGCTAAAATGCCTCTGAACCGGTTCAAGCCTCATGATTTTATTCTTAAAAAATAATATGCAAATTATTATTAGTATATAGAAAAAATTTCAATTATATTCGAATTATTTTAAAGATTAGCATCAATCACATTTGATTGATAAGTGTCGGTCATAATTTTTATAAACTTTAGTATATTGTCATTTTAAAACATTTTTTAAATATTTTAAGCTTATAAATTATATTGCTTAGAGAAAAATTAAATCCAAAATATTATTATAAATGACACATCAAATCTGTATCATATTGGCAGTGTCGGCTACCTATGTTAATGTGGAAAGATGTTTTTCAACAATTAAATTTATATTATTCTTATAAATGTAATTTGAGTACGAATTTTGAAAATATAATAATTGTGCGGCTTAATAAAAAATTTTTATGTAATTGTTCATATTAAAATTAATCATTGATATTAATTAATCATTGATAATGTGATTTTAATTTTGAAATAAAAAAAAAAATTCCCTATACATAATTCGAATGTAGGCATTCAAACCGGTTTTAGAGGTTCAAACTGAACTGATATTTAAATTTTTTACAAACCAAACCTGAACCTTGAACCGTTATTTTTATCTAAACCTGAACCCGAATCGATATTCGTTTCGGTTTGGATCCCTGATTAGAACTAATCTCACGTAAAATGGAAATATAAACTATTAAGAGTATATAATATACGATTAAAAAAATAATAGCTATAAAAATAGATAAAATATAAAATTAAACATTTATAATGATTTAAAAGGTTAGTCAAATATCGTTCATAAATGAAAATTTAATCTTCTTTGCTATTGCGCCAATTTTTTATTAATTATTAGAGCTTGGTGAGTAAAGCTGGTCTATTCAATCAATTTTAAGATGTCATACTTTTGATATAGGTTTTTATTTGCTTGTATTAATTGACATTATTGCCAAAATATACAGTAATTTTAATATATTTGGATAACTTATAAAATATATATTAAAGTATGCAATGTTTCCACTGTATTTCTTGAAGGATTATCTACAAAAATGATTCATACCATTTATATTTTAGGCCTTTAGATACATTTATATCCTATGAATAAAATTTAGCTAAATATTTGTTTTTTCAACATCAAGATTTGGATATATCCTCATATCAGATGGAGTTATGAAATGAAGTATTTGTAAATTGGATAGAGCCATTTCATTAATCACAAATCGTTCATTGATTTAAGTTAAAATTTAATCCAAAAGTGGGATAAAAATATTTATTTTAAATGATCCTCAATTGGTTGTTAATATTAGAACGATTTCTTTGTCGGTAAAGTCAAGGCTTGTGAATCTCAAATCATATAATTTCGTTTTCACCTAACTATCACATAAATCTCCAGAAATTCCTGGATATTATCTCTTGGTCTTTTAAGTTGTAATAAAATATATTCGCGATTCTCATAACTTCAGCCATATCCAATTTTTTTTTAAATATTGCATAAAATTGTTATGTAATAAATAATTTATTAATGCATTCTAATGAAAAAAATCGGCAGTCATATTAAATCGAATAATGCATCAGATTCAGGTGAAATATGTTTTTCAGGATTCTAAAATTTCTCCAAGGGAAAACAAAAGAGGCTCTTCTGGATCCAAAAAATGCTGTAACCGCTTAATGTCGAAGGCTCTATCTTGTCGTGAAAGCTTTTTGCAGTTTCTTTTTTCCTGTAGCACAATAAGTCTCAGAAATAATTATATTCAACAAATTCTGTCTATTTAGATATCTAAACATTTCAAACACTCTAGAAATTTTCTAATCATCATTAATAGAAATAAATTAAATAGAATTTTTTTGGTTGATTTAATTTTCTTATATCTATCAGTGTATAAGATTTAATAAATATAAGATAAACTTTAAAATTTCAGGAGATAAAATATTAATATACACAAGAAATAAATTTTTTAAATTAATTTTAACTTTTTGCTAATATTTAGAATAGAATATAATCTATTTGAATAGAATACTTTGCAATTCACAAAACCCTTTTATATTTTTTCAAAAATTTTTACTATGGGTGTGGGGGTGGCTTTCTCCCCTTCTCTAACCCCCTCCCCTGACTACTCACCATACCCTCTTAAATTATTTTTTTAAGCTTATTAGCTTTGGAAAAAATTTGCTCCACATGAATTAAACCCCAGGTCGAAGTTTGCTATACTTCCTAAATTAAGGTTATTGATAATTATACCATAAAAACATCTCATGTATTTTCTGAAGTGTCTTCAGTAATCTAGGTTTGGATCCGCATTGTTATGTTTTTTCGGTCCTCGAAATTGTAGTTCATAGTCGTAATTTGCCAGAGCGACAAATTTTTTAAAATTTTATGTGGGTTTAGAAACGATATAAGTGGTTTATAATCAGTAATTATATTAAAATTATTACCATAAGATATTGTTTAAATTTAATTAATTAAATATTTTTGTAAAGGCTTCATTCTCTGTCTTAATGTAATTTCGTTCGATGGTATTTGATGCTTGAGAAGCAAATTCAATTGATTCCACGTTGATAATCATAATGGACAAAATTTCCATGTTAAGAGCATCGGCAGCTAGAATAATCGACATTTTGGAATTATAATGGTTTAGAATAGGTTCCTCTGATATTAGTTATTAAATTTATTAATTAAATTTGTTTCATTTTTGCCCAATTCCATTGTACATTTTTCCATAAAAGCAAAAATAAGGGATCGGCTTTGATGGAAAATTGTTTATAAAATTGCAATAATTTGCTATACCTATAAAGGATTGTAATTCTTTAACTTTTTCTTTTTTGTTAATGGGGAGTCTAAAATTGGTTGACACTCTTCGCATGTGTGACCTAGGAATTTAATCTTTTTTAAAAAAATTGATTAGTGAATACAATCTATTGCTTGTTGAAATATGGCCGGCCCTGAAACAACCCCTAATGGAAGTCATGTAAAATCAAGTCCAGTAGGTGTGTTGATCACTAAAAGCTTTTTTTATCCTCTTCTCGGGCTATTTGCAAATATGCTATTCGTTTAGCATGGCAAAATACTTTTCTAGGTATAGAAAATGTTCAATTAAAATATTTGAATACTGCCTGCCTAGAGTAACCAACCACAAATTCTTAGGGATCTATCCTTTTTGAGGTACAATTAGTGAGGCGATTTTCGAGAATCTAAGTTTTCTAAATTCAGATAGATTCTAGTCTTTGCAGTCCATTTCTAATCTGGTTTTCCATCCAAGTGATATCGATCCGCTTTTAGGACTTAGTTGAGATTGGATTTACTTACTTTAAAATCCTTTGAGCCTATTGTAAATATTGATAAATATTTGTTCTATTCTATCTCCCCAAACCTCATTAATTCAAAACATTATCATTATAAAAAATGACTATTTTAATAGATCTTTACCTATCAAATTTATTCCGTTGTTTACAATCATAAATTTATTATATGTAATTTTATTTTTATACTTAATTATATTAAAGATTTAAAAATAATATTATTTTTTGTTAAAGATATTTTTAATCAATTAAGATATGCTACATTCAAAATGGAAACGGTTGGTCTTGTGTTAAAAAAGTGATATATATTTTATTTATTGATAATTTCATTTCAAAATCTTCTTGCGAGTCTGTTGAAGTATTTATTTTTGAATAAATTTTCTTTTAATACGATGCTTTTTGTTGAATTTCTGAAATGGTCTTTATTTCGCAATTATAATAGATTGCATCCTAATTTGGGCATTTTGGCTTTTATGATTTTTTAAACCACAAAAATAACAAAAGACTTATATATTAAGTTATGAATTTCTTTTTCCACTGTGATGATTTGTAAAATAATTATAATATTTAGTTTGTCTTGGATTATTTACTTTTTCATAATTTGATCAACTTGTCCACGATGTCTCTACTAATGTTTTCAGTAAATATAAGGTAAATTGTCTGGAGTAAACATCTATTCAAATGTTTTATATTTAAAAACCTTTTTGTATAGACCTATTTATAACTTACTAAACTTAAATTATCAAAGTGATTCCTTATCTATATGGTTTAGTAAAACCATTTAATTTTTTTAAAATTTTTTCCCCGCGTTTTTTATAGATAAATTTGAAGTGTATTTAAATGCACATTATTCATTAAGGTTAA